ATAATTATTTGCCTCAAGCAAAGGCAGGAATTCGATTCAGTGCTGTGACACATTTATCTAGAATCAAGTTTTAACGCTTTTCTGCACATGCGAATAATTTAAAAACAGTCAGCTTTGAAATTACTTTGGCAAACTTTTCCAGTTGCTCTGACCAAGGCTGCATGGCCTGGAGGTCAGACTACTGGCGATTCGGATATTTGTCACCTAGAGGGATAATAAGCTTACAACAGAGGCGCATGGTAGCGCTTCATCTGTCTCGGTGCATGTTTAACTCCATCATCCTCCCCGTTTGCTGGCCGTGCTGATCTCGTCATTATAGATTTTTTTGGAGGGCTTGACAGCAGGTGAAATAAAAAGACGTTTTCAACCATCAACTGTAATAAATTCTTTAGCACATGCAAAAGAGTAAGTACTGGATTTATTTTATGCGTTTACAACTGACATAAAAGAAAATCAGCATATCACAAAGTCACTTGTAAATTTAGTCTGTGATTTAATAGACCAACGATTTTTTTATTTAAACAAAAATCCAATATCTGTTACTCTATCTATCTAAAGCGGTCACTTAAGAAAACACCCAGAGACTCGCTTTACTGACACAATTACGAAGCAGAAAAGCGCAGAATTTTGCCCTGATTGTCTAGTTTGCTCAATTTTCGGACTACAAATTCAAGTAAGGGGGATTTATTTTTATTTACAATTCGATGAAAGTAAGAGCTATCGATAACTTTGCCGATGAGTGGTTTATGTTGGCAAATGATATAGTCTGGTTTATTTCCGAGTGTTTTTGCAATTCACTTTGAGTTAGGAAGAAAACTGACAATCATTTGGATCGAGTTTTTGGGCCGAACTTTTTTTTTTTGATTGCTCACTTCTTAGCCGAAAACCTAACTTCTTTCCTCATTTACCACTAAGGAGGTTTGTGATTTTGCAAAATCACCGGATTTTCACAAAAATATTGCTTTTCTTGATTCAAATAAGTCCCAATTAGAATGTATTCAGCTATCCGGGGTTACACTGGAAGGCTCACTATCAGCAAAACCAGTAGCAACATCACCGTTTTTCTTATTTTCCGTGGTTGTTGTAGCATTGTCTTCTTTAACTGTACCACCATCATCAGCCTTTTGGTTCGTCTTCTTACTGCTTTCGTCAATTTTCTCCGTTTTAGCCCAAGGCTGTACATCAGAAGTCGCAAAAACGCAGTATAGGATCAGCCCAACAACGAGTATTCCACCGGTTATGAAAAATACCCTCCGCCATTCTTCCTCTGTTGCCTGTAACATAAGATTGCCAAAATCGCCACTCATTTCGATAAATGGATTTTTACCATTAAATTAATTTAACTGTCATTCTTATCATTGAAATAATTTTATTAATTTATAAATTTTGTAGTTCTCATTTTTTACCTTCATTTCTTTCATCCCTTTTCGTCCACATTTAATACACCTTTTAATTAATATACCTTCTTATTTCAACAAATATTTAATGGCAATCTATTTAGTAGCACAACGCGGCAGACATTGGTTGAGGGTGCTAAACGTGGTCACTAGTGAAAGTAGAAGAGCGAGCTCTGGCTATGACAAAAAGAGTGGCGAAACTAAAGATGATTAGGTGCCTTTTTGCCTCCATAAAAACAAATGGTACTCCCTGTTATATTAGCGACGTGAAGAATATCAGCAACTATGCAAAAGGTAAAGTCCGGTGAGCTGGGCATGTTCTTGCTTAACAACCGGTGGACATCACGCACTAGTGAATGATATTTACGAGAAAATAAACAAACGTTTGAGCTACTTTTGAGTGCTTGTACGTTTTATACGAAATAATTTACATATGAGACATAAGGCACGCCTCTTGTCTCGTGTAATACCACGGTTTTATCAATTACAGTAATTTGAAACTGTAATAATACTTGTTAGTAATAAACACAGGCTGGAACCCACCAGGCTTGCTGGTGCTATCATGGATTTTTGCATTAGTCTCGCAGATCGCTAATAGCGGGAATGAGCCTTCCACTATAGCCTAACGCTTGGGCTCATACTGTCCGAACTCTGGCCTTTTGGGATATACAGGAGAAAGAGCGTCGATTGAGATGAAGGTGTTGCATTACAGGGCCGCATGGACTTCTAGGTACACGATTACCAGTTTTTTGCATGAATTTGGGTAGTTTCTTCGGTACACTAAAAAGTGAAAATGTTACTAGAGCAGTCGTTCGTCAAAAAATTCAAGTGCAAATGAACTGATCGTTCATTCACATGTTTGTATGAAGGCGATCGTTCACTGCAAAGCGCACTCATTTCTGATTTTTCGGTAAAGTTACAGGTGCTGTTTTGTTTTCAGAAATGGATGGAACCAAAATACCATACAACGGACAGAAAATTTAAGGAAAAAATATCCGATGATATGGATTTTTATTGATGCATTCCTGTGCTGCAGTAAAAAAGTCGTAAGAGGATATTGTACCTGCGGTGTAAGAACTCCAACAATTATTGGTCCCAAGATACCAGCGATGCACGACAGGGTATTGCCAATACCCATCAGCTGTCCAGCAAAAGTTGGCGCAATATCTAGGTAGCTTACTGCATAGCCAGCGTACGCTGCTCCAGATAGACCAATACCTAGCGTGAGGAATACAACCGTAAGTACGATTTGATCACACTGCAGATAACCGGTGCCTATTAGAAAAACAGCCTCACCGAGGAACGCTGAAAAAAAAGTTCTAAATAGAGATTACCGGGATCAATTCTGATTTAAAAACTTGGCGTAGCTGGGCCCGTCGTGAAAAGATATCCCGGTAACATCACTGACATAGCGTCTCCACTACGACTGTGAGAGCGATCTTGCTATTCTTGATAATCAGGACCAGTGCCTTGTTCATTTTGCAGGAATGGGGCGTACACTAATATTGACTGTCTTTATACAAGGTTACTAAAAATGTAGCTGTTTGTTGTGATATTAAAGATAAGAAGCCGGATATCCCTCCGTATTTGCTCTCTGTGAGTGTTGCAAGTGACAGAAAATAATAGCAAAACTATTGATGACAGCCTCTTTCAAAGGTGTTGCTTAGAAGCACGCTAATGGCAAATCTGAAATCCCTCGTATATGCCAATACCAATTTACCACCGAAACGGATGAACGAATTGTAAAAGAGCTGGTTACCTAAACAACCTTTGATTTACGGGACGACATCAGCGTCGCTTTCCGCTACGCTATTGCCAGATTTCGTGCTCGGATAGTTTGTCAGCTTTTTTGTACAGCCTATGTTTCCAAAATTAACATTATTTGCTTTTTTTAGCTGGATCTTGACCCCTTTCATTGGACTTTGATGTGCTTTTTAATGCCACCTTAAAATTTAGTTGGAATAGCAAGAACTCC